CTCCCAATTTGGAATAGATAAGAATAGCTTTTTAGAATACCACCAAATTAAATCTATAGTCAAACAAAAATTTAAGCTCAATAAAATAGAATTACAAACACCACCAAGGGTATTAGACTTCTATAATCTCAAACCCCCCAAACTACTGTCTAAAGCGGGGTGGGCAACTCCAGTCCTCGAGGGCCGGTCTCCTGCATCTTTTTGTTGTTTCCCAGTTCCAACACAGTTAATTCACCTGTTCAGCAGCTCATCAAGCTCTGCAGAAGCCGGTCAATCACCTGCTGATTGAAATCAGGTGTGTTGAAAAAAAAACCACACACACTTAGGGCCTTGGGAGTGAGCACATCCAACGGCATTTGGCAGGGGTATTTCTCAGCCTCATCCCGGGTGCCGGTGCCCACTTCCAATTTTAAACTACACTTAGACACTGAGGGCTGTGGGTGCAAGTGGGGTGGTGCGGTGGCATCAGCTGGCATATGCCAGACAATGCCCGCACTGCCCGCTCACCACAGCCATGGAATACTCCTCATCAACACTCACTAACACTATATTGGAGCAGGCGGAGGGAGACTAGGGGTCTTAGCACACCTCTGTTGTTGCTTGGCTTCCTGGGGCTGGAGGCTAGGAGGGAGATCCGGCCGTCTGGTTGGGGTCTGGGATGGTGGGCTGCTGTGCTCGGCGTTGGGCGGGGGAGCCTGCTCATCAGCACCCCAGCAGAAAGGGTCAAACTCTTGGAACCGGTGATGGTTGTACCCAGTGTGCAGCAGTACCGGGACCAGAGTGAATAGGGTGTGTATGGGGAGCATGAGTGGGTGTCCGGTGTGCATTTTTGTAAGTCTTTGGTTGTATGTGTATGTGTGAGCATGAGGGAGGGAGTGTGTGACTGTGTTTGTGTATGACTGTATATGTCAGGTGGGGCCTTTGACTCCTCCCCTCTCCTGGGACCTCCTTTGATGATATAGATCTTCATCTCCCCTCCCCCTGCCACACCTGGTGTGGGGTGTGGTGTCTAGGTCTGCCTGGGTCGTGGCAACCGGGTCTGGGGGTTTAAGATTTTTGGCATCTGCCTGACCAATCCCGGTGGCTGGCTGGTGGGGTCCAGGTCCCTGGGCTCTGCTGGGTCCCCGGCGGGGGTGGTCGCCCCTGGGTCCCGGGTCATTGGGTCCCAGGCTCGGCCGGCTAGGGGGTGGGAGGCTGCGGTCGGGCCTGTGGGCTTGCTGCTGATATCTCCCGGGACTCTGCCGGCTGCTGGTTGTGGCCCCCCGGGGCGATCCTCTGCACCTCTCGAGGGGGGCGGGGGCTTTTCTGGTCGCAGTCTCCCTGGAGTTCCTGTGCTCTGGGGCAACTCCTGGATCTCTGGGACTTGGAGCTCCTTCCATCTCCTACGCATCTTTGGGGGGCGGATATGTGGTCCCTCACACTCTCTGTTGGACACTCCTTTAGAGAAACCTTACATAAACAAGCGCGTGTACACACACAGGTGCTCACATGATGCTCTCAAAAGTATGGACTTGGGCACGTTCAACACAGGTCTTAAGACTATGGTGGGCACTTAATGCACTGTGATTTATTATCGTGATTGTTCAGTTAAACAATGTTGATTATATATTTCTTCATCAGGTTGACGCAGTGATAGCTTGCTCCCGATGTATTGTTGTTGTGTCTCGTTTTTTTCTCTCTCTCTCTCTTTCTGCAGGTCTAGAAGCAGATTCTTGTTCATTATTGTTTATTTTTGTGGAACACCCCCCCCCCCCCCCCCCCATCTTTTGTCTCTTCCTTTCTCTTTCACCTCTGTCTCCATGTCTGGTCGGAATTGCAAAGCATTCAAAAACAACAACAATAAAGTTTTAAGTATCAGGCGTGACATTAGAAGCAGACGCTTTGATGCTCCACCTGAGAGTAAATCTGTAAGGCTTGTTACCAGCATTCAGACATCAATTCTGTTTGCTTCACAGCCAGACAGGACACACACACACACACACACACACACACACACACACACACACACACACAAAGAAAAATCAGTAAAACCCTTTTTTCACCCTCTTTAAAACATGTTTGTTAATGACTCAGCATCAAATATTCTTTTTTGCTGCAATAACTTCTGCCAAATGTACACAATGAAACCCCAAGTGTTAAATAAGCAGTGCCAGCATATGGGAACAGTGTCAATTCAATGAAACAGTGCAAAATACCTGCCTTTCTCCTGCTGTGTTGGTGTTAACTGGTGTTAAAGCAGATTTTTATAAATATCTTCTAAGAAAGCAAAGAAAAAACATTTTTTAAGTAAATTTTTTGACATTTTATCTTATTTTTGTTGTCTAAAAAAGAAAAGCAATTCTTCTCTAGAAAATAAAATGACAGAATAAGGTAGGTGAAATATTCTTAAATGTAATCCAAATGTCCTTGTTTCGAGTAAAAAATCTGCCAAAGGGGTAAGCAAAATTTGCTTGGCTAGAACTCTAAAAACCAGCAAAATAATCAAATTAGAAGTTTATTTGCTAGTTTTTAGAATTCTAGCCAGCAAATATTTTTTCCCCATTGGCAGATTTTTTACTCCTAACAAGGAAATTTGGATCATATTTAAGAAAGGTAAGCTCCGCCTTCTTTCTCCTCGGCTTCTTTAGTTGCAGAGAGCAAGGTGCATTGTGGGTAGTCATGTTTTTAGTTAGTTTGTTCTATTTTGGGGTATTAATGCATTATTCGGGGGGGGGGGGGGGGTGTTCTCAGTTATTACTTCATTCACGGTTAATGTGGTGTTACTGGTTGTGTTATGTTGGCACCAAAAGTCAGGAGTTCGGTCAAAGGAATGGGACCGCTGTGCCGTTCCAATTTTTATTATTAAAGGGGTAGTTCACACTGAATGCTCTGCACTCAGTTCTGTGTGTTCTGCTTTCACTGGCTGTCTGCAGTCACGTTGTGTGTGAACAGAGCTCTCAAGTTAAGTGAGATTTCTGGGGGTGAAGGAACAAAAGCTTTTCTATGCTTCGGCCGCTGCAGCCCCTCTACCTCGCCCTCTTTTCCCAACTGTTTTTGTTTATTTTATTTTACACCCACCTTGCTACAAATAATAATAACTACCTAATCCAGGGGTCAACAACCTGTTCCCATCAAAGAGCCATTATTACCCGTTTCCCACAGTAAAGAAAACAATGGGAGCCACAGCAGCCACGGCGTTGTGGGCGGGGCCTACCCTCAGACAGCAGAGAGCTGCTCACAACAGGTGACAGCAGCTGGTACCGGTCGCTCAAGTACGTCAAAGTTATCTTTCATAAGACGATAATCAATAAAACGATTTATATAAAGTGGATCCAGAAGTTGTAGCCCGTCTCTGACAACAATATTTTGATATTTTTCACCCTGTTGGTGGTTTTACTGAGCAGGTGCCACTTTTGTCATAGGTTTCTTTTTAAAACATGTTTAGACTGTTCAGAATACAAATCCAGGCTCTGTCACGTTTGATTGTTGTAATTAAACTTTGTAGGTGGGGAAGGTCAGAAAAGGATCCGATCATTTTGTTTTTCCCTCATTTACAGTGACGGAGATAACGGCGCAGTGCGCCTGGCTCTGGTGTTAATCAAGTTAAATTTGCAACAATTTTCACAAGAAAACAGAACAGTTAAAAGCAGGGCTTGTGTTGTGTTGACCGGACAGTTCCCGTATTTGACCGTTTATTTTGACGAAGGAAGAATAGAAAGAATTACCCCGACGCATGCAGACGAACTGACATTTTATTTGTTACGCACATCGCAGATGTAGCTAAATCACTCAAGAAAAGATTCCCATCTGAGCATCTGAGCTGGACACTGCTCAGCGCAGCTCGCTGTCAGCGTGTACTACATAAGGTGCACAGCGAGCTGAAGATGTGGAGAGGGGCTTGGAGCGCGTCGCAGAACCAGAGCGCATGCAGGAAGATTCCTCCCACTGAAGCGAGTGTTTTCCAAACCCAGTCTCTCAGAGAGACTTGTCACTTAGAAAATGTTCCCTGATTATGAAACTTTGGCTGAATAGCGCTTGTTCATGTCTCCAATGTGGCGACACATCCAGGAGCCGTCTGAGGAGAAGCCCAGAATCTCGTCAGCTCAGGAAGCGCCGATATGATTACGCACAAGCGTGACCCGTCAACCCGGTCTCACAGTAGACCGGGTTGGAACTGTTCAGGTTTACGCAGACAATCTTTACATTTAGAATTGGCATACAGATGTAAAATTAATGCAGTAAAATAAAATTAATATTATTTAAATATCCATTCATTATTTTACAAGCACAGAGAGCCGCATCAGATAGATGGAAGAGCCGCATGCGGCTCCAGAGCCGCGGGTTGCCGACCCCTGAGCTAGCACAAACTCTCAAAAGGATGAGTGTTCCGCAGCTTCGGCTGCAGGCCAAACCAGTGGGCCAGACTGACAGCTACACAGAGGGCGGGGCTTAGGATGAGCTCGCTGTTAGATGCAGAGCGCAGTGAACTCATCACTCGTAGCCCATAAAATATGGGTTTTGTTATTTGTGAGTGAGAAATCTCATATGTGGCGTGAGTGCGTGAAAAACAGGAAAATGCGCGAGTCCCACGCTCATTGCGTGAGGCTTGAGAGCTCTGGTGAAGAACAAGCTAGCTGTTACATACTCAAAAAGACATAAATAAATAAATGAGCATCACTTTTTCAAATAAAAAAATGTGATTTAATTCAAGAAAAGTCTTTGGACATCACAAATTACTAAGTTATTTTTGCTTTGATCTGCTCCACCTCCTCACCCCCGCCACGTGGACCTCAAGGGATAAACCATCAATCCTGCTCAGTGGTTAACTTTCCTCGTGGGGTCACCCATAAAGACAGTGGGAGGGTTAAAGGGATATTCCACCCAAAATTGAAATGTATCCCTTTAAGTTGTTTGGAAAGGCCACTGCCGCTTTAGCAGCACCCATTATTACACAGCAGCACAGTGGTCAACTCTTTTTTTTTGCTGGTAATCTGAAAGCCATTGAGTAAAAGGGCACCTACTTTGTTGAGCATGGCTCCTATGATCTTCGGCCCGTGGCATTGCAGCAAGATTTCCTGATTGATGTTGTGATGACGAATCAGGTTCTTCACCATCAGCAGGAAGGCAGCAATGCTGTTTCTCTCAAGTCTACTCTCTGAGGAAAAACAAAATTGTGCGAAAGATGGTTTAAGATTTCCTGTCTTTCCCACATATTTCTGCGCTACAAAGAACTTTATAGACACCTCATGATGAGAACAGCAGGGGCGGGATTTGGGCTGCTACTAGGGCTCAAGCCCCAGATGTTTTCTGAAAAATCTAATTTGACTTTTTAAGAGTAAAAAAAAATTCGCTTAGAAATGGCAAGGGTGCAGCTGCGTAGTGTAGCCTGCATACAGCCTGCTGGAGTCTTCGCAGTAGAAGAAGTGCTTCAGCAGCCTGCATGCTGTGCTGAGACCGGCTTGGGGAGGCTGAAACATTGATGTTAGGAAGGTTTTGTTTTGTTTTTGGACTAAAAAACCCACAAATAATTGAAATCAAATGCTGGGTACAGATTTAATGAACAACCTCAACAATGACGGCCGCCTTTTGCAGATGTACACATATGTATAACCTCTCTCTCGCACTGTACCCTGGAAAAAAGTGCTGGTATGCTGAAAGGTTATATTTAGAAGTGGTGGTGGCACTGGTACCGGCCCAAAGCACTGCTCTCTTAAAGGATATGTCTGAGAATCTGATTATCAGAACCTGATCATCATGATCTGTTCCTGACGGCCGTTGTTTCTCTCACAGCTCACCGTCCTGTGCTGTTGTAGAGCAGCTGAGTACCTCTTGTGGAGTTTTTTTTTTAACATTTTAGTAAAAAGCTATTTTTAAAAATATATATAGGGGTGTTCAGAGGTGTGCAGACTGAATGTACAGTTTCTCCTTTTAAAGCTATATTTAAAAAGATAAATAATCGGGCACGACACTGTGATCATGTTTACAGCTGCCAGCCACCAGATGGTTAAAAAGTCCGCTCAGACTGGCAAGGCTGTGGGACTGTATAAATTGGCAGACTTGACAAGTCAAGCAGCTGATTCTAAGCCCAGAAGATGTTCTAACGGTAAATATTGTTATAAAATAAACGTATTAGTACAAATCAGTCCTTATGCTGTACGGTTTGTCTCTAAACATGGTGCTGGAACATGTCAGCAGTGAACCAACATCCCAGCGGCTGGAAAATTAGTCTTGTTGTTGCAATACCACCTCTGAAGACCAGAGTTGACTGTTTATGTTCCATAGTCAGCCTTAAATGCTTTTTGCTAATTGAAATGAGCTTTGTTTTTTATGCTGAATTAGCATATATTGGTGAATATTAAGCACGTTTTGCTGTTACCATCTGTCGGTGTGACGCATAATGGTGATTTGGCGTTCCCTGGTGGTGATATGTGTAAAGCACATCTGAGTCATCCCAACCACAAATTTCAGATTTAATGAAAAAGAATTGAGCGATGAGGCTATTTTTAATACATTCATAACGTTAACACCTTTCTAATCCGTGATTCTCCTGAAAACCTTTTGTTTTAGACTAGAAATATGATGAAATATTTATGTTTTTGCCACGCTTTATTTAAACACATTAGAGACTAATGTTTAGTATTTTTATATAATTATTTTCTGCCTACTTGAACTATTTAGCTGTTGGTTTAAAAAACCAGGAATGTGACTCGACATTTCAAATATTTTAAAGATTTATCTATGTATTTTTTATATATTTTTTCAAACCGTAATTTCTTTTATTCAGCTGTCCATAAACCATCATTTTGTAAGGATGCAAATGGATAAGAAAGATGTTAATAGAATTTAATTTAAAATTTTTTTTTAAAAATCTTGTTATTTATATGCACCTTCCCATAACAGGCCATGTAAATGTCGGCTGGCATGATCCTTTCTGCACACCTGTTAAATTGCACCCCACCCAAAAAAATTTAAAAAAAGACCATCCGCCACTGCTGTGAAATTATTATGTGAAAGCGCTTTCACATGCCCAAAACGGACCAACAAAGCGCTGTACGCCAATAACAAGCACAACAATAAAACAGACATATAACCATTTAAAATACAATAAGAAATCCCGAGTACAAGTTCGCAATCCATATCAGTCCTGTTTCCAGAATCAGATCATGACACATTCAAAGTGATGCTGCCAAACGCATTCCCAACTTCAGTCCAAACGCCAGCTGTTATAAGGGCAGGATGATACATTTGTTTAATTGATTTCATTCAAATTCGCCATTTATGAAGACCTCATTTTGAGAAATCAGTTCCTGTCTAACACACAGAATAGCAAAGTCTTTACCTTATTTTGCTGACAGTCACATCAGTTGCTGTTGCTGGATGTACCACACCAAACCTGACCAAGGCAATCGGAAGTAGCAAAAACTATCAGAAAAGTCAGGTAAAAACTTTGCGACTCTGTGTGTAAAGACAGGACAGAACCCATACGCCACTGGTTGGTAGCTGCAGTCTTCAGGCCAGAACCTTCTCATGGTCCCTAAGGCCCACTTTAGAACTAGGAGAGGCGTGTCATTTCAGGCTGTGGTCCCAAAACTTTGGCACGCCCTGCTGACCTCTCTTTGAGAGGCTCACACTATTCATTCATTTAAAATGCAGTTGAAATTTTCTTTCCTTAGACAAGCTTTAGATACGTTCAGCTGACTGACTTCTAATTGTATCCCATCTCTGTTTTCTGTGACTGGAATTAGTTTATATTGCATCAGTTTTATGGTATTTGCTCTATAATTGTTTTGTGGTTCACAAAACAAAGTGCTAAAAAGTAAAAAATGAAATTTCTTCTTCTTTTGAGCCTATGCCTCTTGATCTAATCTGCAGATCAAAATTGTTTGCTAATGCTATGATCCACATCTCTAGACTAATTTTATCTGGCACTTATTACACATTTAACCCCTTGAATCATCAAAACATGAAAACAATGTGACCTGCGTGTTTGTTGAGAGGCAGCAGCATAGCAGCAGGGCCTCTAAAGGAAGTCAGTTCTGGTCCCAGTAAGTCCGAGGTCTCCGGACTGCCGTAGGCCTGTTCAGCTTCACACACCTGCTCAAGCAGGGGCAGCACAACTCCAATCCCTCCAATCACATTTATAACATCCTGCATTAAGAAAGTTAAATATGTAACATCACATACAGTGGGTATGAAAAAGACTCACCCCCTGTGAAAGACTTCAGGCTTTAACAGCCTTAAATGGAACCACAAACAAATACATATCTTTTACAGGGAACAGCAGTAGTTCAGGAGCAGTTGTCCAATATTCAGAGGGTTGCAGGATCGATCCCAGCTCCCTCCAGATAATTATGGTGTTGTGTCCATAAACAAGACACTTAACCTAACATGCCTTTGTTGGTGATGGTCAAAGGGGCTTATGGCGCAAAAAGGACACCTCGCCTCTGTCAGACTACCCCAGAGCACCTGTGGCTGCGTAGTAGTTTACCATGGTCAGCAGTGTGTGAATGTGTAACAAATGGAAAGCGCTCTGAGTGCCTTGAATATCACTATATAAAACTTTCTTTCAACGCTCTTTTTATTGAAACTCAGTGGTGTCACAAAAAGGGTACAGCTGTACAGTAATAGTTTTGTCTGTCCCTCTCAAAATGTAACACTTGCCAGCGGAGATCAAAAAAGCTGTCAGAGTTTAAGAGGTACACCTCTTATTTACCCTCCCACCCACCTCCAACACATATACATATATGTAACTAAAACAAAAAATATAGAAAAATTTTAATAAAATTTTAATTAATTAAAACAAAAATAAAAATATTTGAGGAAAAGCTACTTGGATATGACTGCCAACGGCTTCCCAAAGAAGTTCAGAAAGGGGCACCAGACCCTGTCAAAGCTATCTGCCACTCCCAGTGTGGTGAAATGGATTTTTTCCTAAATAAAAAAATGAATCCTCTCTCCGACATAGTGTGAGGAAGAGGTAGGGGCAGAGGCTTTCCATTTTAACAGGATAACTCTGCAGGCGACCAAAGAGGAAAAAGTCCAGAGCTCCGCATTTGTAAATCATGTCCAAACGAAAGCCAGCAGTCAAAGGGTTTGGAGCAATTTGGTGATTAAGAATTCCTGAGATGAATTGACAGTAAGATGTCCAACATTTAGATGAAGCAGGGCAGGACCAGTACAAATGTACCAGTAATCAGGGCAGATTTACATCTAGAGATAGAATATTTAGATTTGGGTGGGTGTTGGTTAGGAGACAGGCAGCAGAATTATGGATGTTTTGAAGTTTGGTGAGAGTTTTGGATGGAATACCATAAAAGATGTTATTGCTGTAGTCCAGTAGTTACCAATTTGTGTCCGAGACGAGCCAGGACCCCCAAGCCAACTCTTACACGCATACACACATTAAATGTGATCATTTACCATTGTTATGCAGACATAAAGAGTTATAACTTATACTGTAGGGTGTGTTATTGGAACATAATTGTAATTTTTACATTAAAATTCAAGGCCACCTAGATATGAACACTTTAAAAGCTACCCAGTCCGGTCCATGCTGGCCCACATGAGAAAGTGCCAAAAGATTCAGATCTTGTGGCCATCATACTCCAGGGTGTCACGCTTACATGCTTCCATACTATCCAGTCTTTCACCTGAAAATGGTGGAATCTGTTATGAAGTGGTAAGGTTGTCTCCTGAACTCTAGTGAGGTTTTGCGGACACGTCCAAATGGAAAGAAACACAAAGGAAGACCCAGGACATGCTGGGGGGACTATGTTTCTCGGCTGGCCAGGGAACGTCTTGGGATTCCCCTGGAATAGCTGTCCCGATCAAAACATCCTTTTTCCACTAAGACAGAAATCAAGTACCTCAAACTTGTCTTGACTCTAAGAAAAGCCATATTAAGCCCCCCCCCCCCCCCCCCCCCCCCCCAACCAGGAGTGGCAAAACAATTTTTTTATTAGTATTCTTGATTAATAAAACAAGTGACTAATAAATTACGGGCATTACATGTCTAAAAATACACAATAGCACCGTTATCAGATAACATTCAACAGATATGTAATGCATTCAAATAGAGAAATATTTGACGGTAGCAGAATAATAAAACATTCAATACTTTGATTATTATACTTGACAATACGAATTTTTGGAAAGGACACTTGAGCTTTTTCTCCACCTTCTCAAAATTCCCATGCAGCAATGGATTGTGGATAATATCAGTTGCAAAAGTCTGCGCAGATGGGGGCTTTGAAGAAGAAGAAGAAAATCATTTCTATAGCGCCTCTCAAGATAAAAATCACGAGGCGCTTCACAAAAACAAAAACGTAAAAATATAAAAAGCATTTAGAAAATGTTTAAAAATATATTTAAAATGAGCAAAAATAGGCAATTGTGATTAAAAATGTAAAGAAAGAGGGAGTGTGAATAGGAAAGAGGGGAATCAGTGGATCCTGAGGAAGGTGGAATAGGTGGGGAGAGCAGAATAAAGAGAGGTGAAGAAGGTCATACAAAAGCCTGCTTGAACAGGTGAGTCTTCAGCTGCTTTTTAAAGGAGACCACTGAGTCCACTGATCTCAGGCTCAGGAGGAGAGAGGTCCAGAGTCTGGGGGCCACAGCAGCAAATGATCTGTCACCTTTGATCTTTAGCCTGGTGCTGCACAACCAGTAGGCTTTGATCACTGGACCTCAGGGACCTGCTGGGGGTGTAGGGACTGAGAAGATCCCCAGTGTAAGATGGTGCTTGTCCATGTAAGGCCCTATAGACCAGAACCAGGATCTTGAGATGAACCCTGAAGTTGACTGGCAGCCAGTGGAGCTGGAGGAGAAGCGGGGTGATGTGGGTGAAGTGTAGATCAAGGGTACATGGCCATGGTTCCTCACTTGAAAATCAGGACACCCTACACCAGAAGTACTGAACCCTTGTCCTGGAGGCCTTGTATCTGGCATGTTTTAGTCTTTTCTATGCTTCAACACACCTGATTTAATGAACAGGTGATTAACTGGTAGCTGCATAGTCTGACTGCTGAGCAGGGGATTCAGCCACTGAATCTAATGTGTTTGTGATGTTTATATCAAATAAAGTGGATCCCAAAACATTGTTTTACCTTTTCTTACTTCCTTCCTTTTTTTAAATTGGCAAACTTGATTGTAAAAACTTGTTCTGTAAAGAGGGGGCAGATATTGCTCAGTATAGATGTGCAACGTTGAAAGAGAATTATCCCATGAGGCTGAAGACTGTTAGTTGGGGGATGGTGATCATTATCTCATATCAATCTCAGTATTACCGGTTATTTGTTTCTGAAATGTTTTTCTGAACTGTATTGTGATATTTTACCAGTTAGGCATTGCAGGTAGCATTGGATAGATAAAGCTGGTAAAATATATTGTATTTGTTTCCATTTAAGGATGTAAAGAAAATAAAAATAAAGTCTTTCAGGGGTGATTATTTTCTATACCCATTGTAGAGCTTGAATGTGCAAAAAAAGCTCATTTTGAATAGATCAAACAAAAGTTATTCAGTCTATTTTATCATAGAATAATACAAAAATGAAATCTCAGCCTAAAATATATCATAAAAATTGAAAATCTTTATATCAAACCTTGACATCCCAGTTTACCACTCGGTGTCCTGTTAGCCTACCATCATACTGGTGATTAGGGGACAGGTCCAGACAAATTTGACTCTTAAATGCCTTTAAAAACACAAAATTATAAAATCAAGAATAATAAGTGTGAAATATTGTGTGGAGACACTTCAGATAATCACCTGTGGAGTGTAGTAAAGCAGAAGCTTGCTGTTCAGATCTGACAGCTCTCCATCCGATTTGAATAAAGGCACGTTGTTGGGACCTGTGATGAGAGGAGAAAACATTGCAAGTCATAAGTTATAGCCACCATGCTTTCATAGTAGCTGGTTTCATTTAAATTTGAAGTTTGTTGTGGATGAATAAAAAAACTATGTTTGTGCGACCTGCAGCGTGCAGCGCTCTGGCCTGGGTTTGCTGCAGAGCCTCATGACAGATGAAGGCGGTGCCCAGCAGCCCGTCCAAAGATGTGGGGGATCCCCACTCTGTATCCTGCAGTCCTGCAGAGATGTTGTGCACCGCGGTCTCTGCCGTCGACCCCCAAGGGCCTCGACTGAAGGAGGCAGGGGTGGACTGGGAACGAATGAGTGAGGGGGGATGGGTAGGGAAGGCAAACTCAGGTGATGGACTAGAGGGGAATGTTGTAGGGAGGTTTGGGGATGTGGTGGTGGTGGTTGTGCGCTGGCCAGCTGAGCCGATGCAGCAGTAGATAAAAGGCTTCACGGCCAAATGAAGATGGAAACAAAGAAGCTTAGACTGATAAAGAGGATGCAACTTCACCAATAAAACTGATTCATCTTTGTAAAATATTAGATCATTTTTGTTTACCTCACTGAAAGATGGGAAGCGAAGCTGAGCAGTTTTACGCAGTTCTCCATCAATGTAGACTGTGACCAGGTTCTGACCAAAAGGGCGACGGCCGGGAATGTGGACTATAGCCACTGAATGCTGGGAGTAAAAATGAAAGACATTTTAGCAGGAAAATATTCTAAGTGAGATAGTAAGCTAAAACGTCAGGAAGCACAAGTCCATTCATACCCAGCGTGAGTAAGCTAGCGGGTACTCAGGCAGAGCAACAGCCATGTAGTCTTTTTTAGTGCAAACAGCTACTACCAGCACCCCCTCCATGGTGAAAAAGGCTTCCAGTCCAGTTCCACTCGCTGTGAAGAAGCTTTATAGAAAAAAGGTCTGGTTGTCTTAGACCGTTGTATAACTTAAAACCATGGACTCGCAATCATGTCACACTCTTGTACCTGTAGAGTTGCTTCCTGCGTGGTCCTTTCCCCATGTCATGCTGGAGGTTTGGGCTAGGATTGGCAGGATGTTTACGGTTGTTGATGAACTCGGAGTGACAAGAAGGGAAGTCCATGCTGAGGCATAACCAGGCGTGAAATGCAAACCCGCTGCCTGGCCAGCGTTGGATTGTTGGAACCATGATACCTGCCATGGGTGGGGTTAAATCAAAGTATTGTAATGCATGGTCCTGCCCTTCTCTGGCCGCCATGGCTGAGACAACACGTATCATTTGGATGCAGTAGGGGTGGATCTTCACTACAGCAACACCGTTGTCCTGATCCACCCTGAGAAGTCTCAAGAGGCTCTTCATCTCCTGTGGTTTCAAACACAGGGAGCCCAGGTCCTGCAGCAGGCCCAAAAGGGAGTCAGCACACTGCCTGTCCAGTTTCTGTGGCTGTGAAAGCACCTGCAGCAAAGCCCCCACCATGTTAGCCTCCACAGCCACAGTGCGACACAACAGCGAACCCCCACACACAGAAGCAAGCCACTGGGCAACTAGCAACTGAAGGTCCCTCTGTCCTGACAGGTCAGGCAGCCACTGCAGAAGTAGCAGCAAAGGCTGGTCGTTGCTGATGCCGAAGTGATGAGCATGAGCGTGCTGACCCTCCACCGCCTGAGAAGAACAGAGATAAACAGACAAAAATAAGTTATTAGAACAGAGTTTTAATTGGAACTAGATATGTTACTTGCAGAAATGCTGTTTGAACGTTGGATGCTGAAAGCTATAGTCGAAATAGCTGAAAAACTTGAGTGAAGCTGAAACTAAGTTAAACTTTAAAAATTAAGATTTAGGAGCAAAAACCCTTAACAGCTCAAAAGGTAGCTGGATAGAGCAATGTTGAACAGCAGAGAACAGAAACCACTGACCTTAGATGGAAAACCTGAACAAATAAACAGTTTTAAAAGCTGGCCTTTAATCAGAAATAGTTTAATAATGGAAGTTTTTACAAATAGTTAAAATATCAAACTTTCTGAATTCATTTGAAGACTTGAAACTTTGAAGCAAATTTCAAAATTTAAGCAGCAACCCATTCTGAGATCATCTTCAAACTCTGATCTCTTGTTCAAATGTAATAAGTTAATATGAAGAAGGTTGAGAGAGAGAGCAATGGGTGATTGGTTGGACTGATACACGCATGACCGGACAGAGTTCTGGACGCATGTTTGGATGGACAGTTGGAGACTGATGCACATGTGTTTTGACAGATGGACATACTGGTAGATATGTGGTTGGACTGATAAACGGAGAGACAGACTGATGGACAGATTGGTAGATGTAGAGAAATTAATGAGGAAGAAAATCTGTTCTTTTTTACAATGCAAAATGGCTCTCTCCTCGTTTTGAGGCTCATAATACCTACAGCTATACCGAAGATATTCCCTAAAAGTTGGCAAAAACCATGAGTGTACTCTAAAAGGTGTTTTTTAAAATAATACATAAATATTCAATAGTAGCTTTACATTTCCATTGATTTTAATTCATATTTAGTCCAAACAAGCTGAACAGAGTGCCCCAGTAACATATAAGCAATGCAATTAAACATTTTCACTGAAATTAGGAACATTTTGTTTCGTTTATTTATTTCAATCAATCAAATAAAAGTTACATTAAAACAATTCATATTCACAAATAATCATAAATGAAAAGGAGCAGAAAGAAGCTAAACTTATATCGGCCAACTTTTCACATCAAGACTTTAGCTGTTCAACTCAAAGAATTTCGTTCATCTAACCCCACCCCAACACAAAGCAAGTCAATCAGCCTATTTAATGGGACTTTACGGACTTTTGAATTTTTATGCTGGCGATTGCCCCCTCAGGCCAAAAGCGTAACTGCAGCTTCAATAGTAGACTCGTGCACGAGGCGCGCATGCTGTACGTGCACACTCCTTAACGAAAATAACAGCTGAGACAGTCTCATGTGTGTGTGTGTGTGTGTGTGTGTGTGTGTGTGTGTGTGTGTGTGTGTGTGTGTGTGTGTGGCCCGGAGGACAGAGGACAGGAGAACACGCAGCTAATTAATTAAATAACTTGGTTCTGTGCCTTTCTCTTCAGCACAGCTGACAAAGGTTTATGATGGGTCAGTCCTCCTGCATGCTCAGATCATTCCCTTCCCTTGCTTGAAAAATTGTTCCAAAATGAAAGTTGAACCCACATCTTTTTTATCTGTGAATTCAATGCCGTTCGGCGAGTCTCAAATAAAAATTTGGGCATCTTACTGTAAAAAAATATACAATTAATGTAAAAAAGAAACTCTAAATAAACTATGTTCACATCCAGAATCAAACCCAGGTCTTCTGCATGGGAGTCTGACATCTTACAAGGTGAGCTACAGTCTTGAAACATTCACAGCAGGGCCGGCTTTGTCGACAGGCGACACAGGCGGCCGCCTGGGGCGCCATCTGATGGATAGGGCGCAAAAAAAAAATAATACGTTAAATTTATGTTTGTTATAGGAAATGCACTCTCTACGTACTCAAAATTCCCCTCTGAAATGACATGAAATTAAAACATCAATATTTAAATTCTAATGATCTGGCTGCATGACGAGCTCCCGCTTGGGCCACCGCTCCGAAGCATTTGACCATTAAGGGTGCCGTAGTCACGTGCGTGGTTTGCACTGTGGACATCCTGTTGTCGTTGCATTGAAACTTTTGATATCTTTTATGATGAAAAAGAACGCCTAAGCCATCGGGATCAGCATTCCGAAAGCGAAGGTAAGTAGGAAGAATAAAAACGAGCCCAAAGCAGAGGTATGTAGACTTTATAAATTTGGCAAAGGAACTTTTTGCGTTACAATTGTAGCTAACTGCCTCTCCTGCCACACACGGTCCACGGACGGACCCTCGCTTGCTGTTTACATGCACAATACAGTATCTCATAACTTTAACCAATTAATTTTACTTTTGAATCGTCGTGTCCAGATGCAGTGAGACAATATCTGCAGCCACACAGGCATCTGTTGACACCAGGGGGGGCGGGACTGTCTTTACACCTGTTGAGTCTCACTGTGATGATGAAGAATGTAAGATTTTTTACTGGTTTTTGGAGTGTGATTGCAGCCTTTTTATGAGCCTTGTTTCAAGTTTTAAGTAAGCATACAATATGAATTTAATATTTGTATATCAGAAGAACGTTAGGTGTGGGTGTAGCAAATTTTCAACTTTGTCCGACACATCGGGCGGGCGGCACCGCCGCGGCCGTGGCGGGGACTCCCCCGCTGCCGCCGGGCCGGCGGGGAGTGAGAACTGCCTGAACACTGCATGACATCTTATACCGTCTCTTTCTTGTTTATGCTGCAGCGTCTTCATCCAGGCATCACGCAGCAGCAGCACATTTACTGAGCTTCAGTCTCAGCATCTAGAACCAGGTGAGTAAGTTACTTGTTAGGCTGTTTGTAATCAGCAGTAGAAACGGACTTTTTCAAATTAAACGGCTTATCACATATATCCATATGCAAAATTAATTTATTTAAATCCACACCAGACACTTGTTTTTGGCACAATGAGTGCAGCATTGATTTAGCATTGAGAATATTAAATAATGAGAACATACACATCTGAAATTGTCTCCTTAAGATGTTATTGTCAGTTAGGCTGTAAATTTGTAAAAAAGGATGGACGTTAGTTTTTGTGTCATAGTGAGTCATCTTCAGGGCAGAAAGGTTTATGCCCTGAAGAAGGTCGTACCGAAACGCGTCGGTGTTTCCTTGTTTAATAAATGAAATCCTCAGAGTGCCTCAGATCACCGGTTCTTCTTCCTCATATTCTAAATTTATTTGATGCTGAAGAGCACCTGAGAGTGAGACATAAGTCTTTTCAAATATTCCCCACTTCCACCTGTTTTTGATAATTTTATTCATGTTTTCATAGAACAGATTAAAAAAAAAGATCAATAAAATAAAAAGTCCAGTAATATTAAAAATAATGAAAATCATCACTGCACATGACTGAGGAATATTGAATGTGAAAGTGGCACTGTTCTTAATTCATGCATCAGAGGGTTAAGTTGCTTTGTGTGTGTGTGTTTATTTTCTCACAGAAGAAGAACCCAACACCAGCAGGCTCAGTGCTCCACTCCAACAGTCTGAAGAGACACCATCATCAGCTTCAACAGATGTGTGTGAACATGTATGAGCTGCTGGCCCCATGGATCCTGCTGACTGGCCACAGCAGTTGAACAAAATGGAAAGTAGAACTTTCTTTATGATGACACTGATATTTGAGTTTTGCTTTTGATTGCACAGTTTAATGCTGCTTTTGATTTTGCATCCTCCAATGACATTTGCTCAACATTTTGAGTTGTTGGTTTTTGTAATATTCTCAGGTTACTTATCTTTCAAGCTTACATTTATTCTTCAGGCTGTTGACTTTAAAGAGTTGCTGTGTGAATATTTAAAATAAAAAAATTAGTAACCAAGGAATAACTGTGGAGTTGCTTTTTCCAATGTGTGGTGGGTGGGTGGACTTGGGTTTGGGTGAGAGGCATGCAGGCATGTGGGGGGGGGGGGCACATGGGCAGTCTCGCCTTGGGCACCAAATTACCTAGAGCCGGCCCTGATTCACAGCATCTATTATATCCTTGATGACAGCTGAAACAACGTCAAACCAAAGAACACTTCGAAGTGAAAATGGCTATTTTGTTGCTAATTTGCAGGAAATATCTAGAAGAAAGTTCTACAGAAAGTAGCTAAGGGTCCTCAGAAATGTAGCTAGCTTTGTCACTAGGCGTTAGGAACAGTGACAAAGTGGCACTGGCTATCTCTCTGCTGCTAAAGCTACGGATAGCAAATGCTACGGGCTATGCCTGAGCGTGAACGCGCATGAAGCAGCCTGCTCGACCCGAGCATCTCTCTTTTTCTGTGATTTTACAGAAAAACAGGCAATCACAGTAAAAATGCCAGGGCTCATTCTACAGGACCAGGGCATTGCAGGAGAATGTATGAAGAAGACATTTATTATTTCTATACATGTTTTGGCTGTCACACTTCCATAATGTCCCTTTAAAGTCTTATTACTTCATCATGATACGTTTCACATTTTTTTAAATACAGAAAATTATTTAGATTGTTTTATTTCACTGTTGAGTCTGTTCCATAAATAGACACCTTTAACTGAGATCCATCTTTCCATTATCGCTGTTCGGAATCTTGGGTTTTTTAAAAATATCAGTTAATTTTAGATTATAATTACTTTCTCTTTTTACAAATTTCTTTTGAATATTTATTGGTAGAATTCCTTTATGTGCTTTGTACATACGTTTTAATAAATTATATTATACTAGTTTGTCAAATTTCATTAGGTCTAGTTGTGAAAACATTGGATCAGTATGATCCCTGTATCCACTTCCACTAATAACTCTCACTGCTCTTTTCTGTAAAAGAAGAATTGAATGCGTATATGTTTTGCAGGTACTTCCCCATATGTCAATACAATATGTCATATATGGAAGAATTAACGAGTTGTACAGAATATGCAAAGCTTTTATGTTCAACAATTCCTTCGTCTTATTTACTACTGAAATAGCTCGAGATATTTTAATTTTAATATAATTTATGTGAGACTTCCACGATAAATGTTCGTCAATAATAACACCTAAAAACTTAACTTCTTTTACTCTATCTCAATTCCTTCAACATTTATTGACGCATCTGCATCAACATTTATTGACGCATCTGCACTTTTTTTACTACTACAAAAAACTATGAACTTAGTTTTATCGGTATTTAAAGAAAGCCTATTGATATCAAACAATTTAATTTTTGTAAATTCATTTTCAACTACATTCAAAACATCTTTTATATTTTCTCCTGAATAAAATAAGGTAGTGTCATCTGTAACTTGAAAAATTTTGAAACCAAAGCAATATCATTAACGTAAAAAAGAAAAAGTAATGGTCCAAAGACCGATCCTTGTGGTACTCCACAACTAATATTATGTATAGAGGATTTTATATTATTAATTTCCACAAACTGTTGTCGATTCATCAAATAACTTCGGATCCACTCGTGCTACTCCTCTAATCCAGTATTTGTATAATTTATCTAATAATATTACCGTATTTTCACGACCATAAGGCGCACCTAAAAGTCTTAAATTTTCTCCAAAATGTACGCCGCGCCCTATGGTGCGGTGCGCCTATTGTGTTGTTGTGAGACACGAACATAGTAGAAGACAAAGGGCGTGGCGAGAACTTACGGACGTGAGCGAAGACAGACCTGTGGATCTGCCACATCGTCATTAACATCCTCGCTAGGGATGAGCGAGTACACCGCTATCTGTATCTGTATCTGTTCAACCAACTAAATTATCTGTGGCTGTGTCTCAATTCAGGGTCTGCATCCTACGTCGGCAAGATTTGTCGGCCGGTTACGTCACAGCGCCGCGACTAGGCCTGTCCCAATTCGAAGACTCCTTAAAATGCGGTCGACGCATCCGGCCTTCTTTTCGCCTGAATGAAGGATGGGTCCGGTGTATCCTTCAAAGGGTAGCATTTCCCAAGATGCCTTGCGGGCCAGCCGGCAGAAAAACGGCGGACAGTGAAGCGGGAGCTGTCGGAGAGGATTGCGCATATGAATGTCAGTATAAACTTGAAAACTGTTAGGTTAAGGGTTTTTTGTGATACATGAACGTTATTTTAGTTAGAAATGTTACAGTAGAAGTGCTTGTATTGCGGTCTCGGCTCGTATGTTCGGCCGCTCGGTGTCATACTTCTCCCGCTACGTTTTCCCCCTGATTTTAATAGGAGTTTGTATTTTAGGGACAAGAGAAAACCAGGGAATTTATTAAGCTTAGGGCGGAGATGGACCACATGATCACTGGAGCAAAGTATTCGGCAGCTGTGGCATGGAGGTACAATAACATCTTATATTTTAAAAACTCGTTTGAGTTTATTTTTTTCTGCGAAAACATGAAAGGAATAACCCGTTGTCCTCTTTTCTCTTCCCGTTTCTTTTCTTACATGTTTGTTAAGACTATTCTGGAGAAAATGGGCATCCAGGAGAAGGTGACAGCGAGGACCAGCTTCTGGAGCTGATCAGGGAGGACATGAGGCTGCAGAGGGAGGCAGAGCAGCAGAGGGCCCAGGAGAGAAGGGAGAACTTTGACAGGCTTTTTACTTTGCTAGAAAAAAATGGTTAATAAAGATTAAACATGTACATATAAAAGAAATATCTAAATAAAATCAGTTCTGCATTAAACTCTTGAATTTTATTTTGGTTTACAAATGAGAATTGTTTACTAGAGGGTATCCAGCTGGGTCTGAAAAGTCTTAAAAGGTGATAAATCGGTTTTGGTCAAATTAAGAACCTTAGAAAGTATTAAACACTATTATCACATCTTTGCTCAAGCTCAGCTAGTGGAAAGTATTTTCTCCGAATTATCTCTCCAACGATCAAGGAAATGATTAAAGATCTAAATAAAACTTCGAGCTCCATCGTTTAAAGTTCCTTCTCCCTTCTGCTCAGCGGTTCCACGGTTGCTAGGCGACGGAACGTTCGCCGAGGGAGAGGCGGGAATTCATGAAAGCTAGGCCTGTCCAAATTCACAGCCGTTAACATCCAGTCTACCCGGCCGACGGAGGACCCAGCCCACGTCGGCCGAGTAGGCTGGGTCCTTCGAAGGATGCAGACTCTGAATTGAGACACAGCCTGTATCTGTACTCGGAATGGGCGTGGCATAACCCGGAAGTGGGCGTGGCTTAACCGGAAGTGGGTGTGGTTTACATCAATATATTATGTTAAGTCTAAAATTGATATGGATTGATCAGAAGTTGATATGTGTATTGTTTATTTAAAAACTATTTACAGAGCAGCCTCAGAATAGAGATTAAATGTTTTTGATCACAATAGTAAAGAAACTATTACAGAACAAGTGTTTCAATAAAATCAGAACATTAATATTTAAGTGCATGAATTAATACGTCTGAACTCATGCAGTAGGAACTAGGAAATATGAAATACTAGAACCAGACACAACTTCATATATATTTTTTATTTTAATTTGATTAAACTGATTTTTTTCTTAACGTTCTTGGCATTTTCCCACACAAAGTTAAACAAAACAATGTTGATTGAGGTGTGTGTGTGTGTGTGTGTGTGTGTGTGTGTGTGTGTGTGTGTGTGTGTGTATGTGTGTGTGTGTGTGTGTGTGAGAGAGAGAGAGAGAGAGAGAGAGAGAGAGAGAGAGAGAGAGAGATAGAGAGGGAGAGAGGGAAAGAGAGGGAGTTAAAAAAATAAAAAACCCGACCGGAGAGACGCAGCACGCCAGCTCTGTCTTGTCAAATGCAACATGTAAGTTACGAAAAAAGTTACTTTAAATATTCAACCGAAAAAGAGGCGAGCTGAAGAAAATCTAAGGAAAACTGAAGAAACGTGAGCAACAGTGAAGGAATCACAGCGAGATCCGTTACTGTCTGTGTGTGCGCGAGGATGAGCCGGACAGACTGCGCTCCCGGCCGGCTAGAGAGTTTTGTGTGTAGGGAGGGGCGGGCGCTCTATGTGACTGGCCAATCACAGAGCGTGAAGACAGTCAGTTACCCAATGAGGAATTTCCTTCAGCACTATTACAGATATTTACGGGGTTTACTCGTGTCATGCTCGTATTCGTCAAAAATGCTTTATCCGTACCGGATACTCGTCTGAAACGAGTATCCGGCTCATCCCTAATCCTCGCTATTTGCCTCAGACTCCGGCTGTGAGTCTCCGCCCACTTCCTCTTCTTCCATTAAAAAAAAAGCCGTACTCTGAACTGCCTGGTGGACATTTATCCTTCTCATCATCCTTTATTGAAGCTTAATAAAAGCCTACTAAACTGCAGCGACAATATATCTGTCCGGATTGCTCCAAAATATGAAGTTTACTGTCAATATCTGTCTAATTGTTTGTTGTTACTCCACTCGCGCCACGCCTTTCCCCGCGAAGCGGCTCCTTTTTGTGCACATCTGGTTACTCATGCAGCCTTCCTCTCTCTCTCAGCTACATAATGATACTTTTTATCAATTGAATATGTGAGACTTCCACCAGCAGCAAAAGGATCTCATGTTTTTGTGGGTTTTTTATGTTCACAAGCACATTCCCTCTCACGGATTACTAAACTGCTGTTTTGACAAGTTATCAGATTGTCTAAAAATAGGTCGTTTTTTAGTTTAGTATAACTCCGCTTTTACGTTGCCTATTAACAACATTTAAAAACCGGGGTGTAGTTTATAATCTCCTTTTTAAAGCTGAATTGATACCGAAACTCAGGGAGGCGGAGTCTTGCTGCTACAGCGTCCCAAATCAGACCTGTTCAAAAGACGCAGATACGAGTTCATGGACCCCAGAGGGTTAATAAAACACAATTCAAATCATACTATTTTCTTAGGCCTATTAATAACACACATATGATTTTGTTCATGTGGAAGGTTTATGTGGTTAAATCCACCAACTAAACACATTCTGAACTTCAACACAGCGCATCAGCGCTTGAAGCGGCGCTGCGAGCAGCTGCGACCCAAAAAGTACCAGAACCGCTCACAGCGCATGTGCAATCATGCATCAACACTGCTCGCCCGCTATTTCCCTAATAACACACGCTGTTCGTTTTAATTTCTACACGATTTTTTACTCACAAGGATTGTCAAGAAAGCGTGTTTGTCGTGTTCATGTCAAATTAAACTGATCACAAAACACAGATTTACTTTCTTTATTTGGTTTTCCTCATCCAACCCCCATAAATCCCTGTGTGTCCTCCTGCAGCACTCCCGGTGTACGCTCGGCTTTAGTAGGAGGGAGACCCGCGATTATCGCTTTGTCGCGCATGTATCACTGAAAATGAATGGAGGAGAGGCGAAGTTGCCTCCCGTGTGTCGAGCCCATTAGAAGAGCACGAGCCGTCAGCAAACGCAATGAGGAAGTGCACGTACGCTCTAAACCAGGTCTGAACCAGGACTAGACCAGTAAAGTGAAGCATGCTTTTGGCTGTTTATAATTTTCACAATGTCTGGTTTGCACTGATATGTTCCGAGTCCCGAGCTCGCACAGATGTTTTACCAGTACGTTTTACCGTGCCCGCACCCTATAACCTGGTGCGCCTTTTGTATGTGTTAAATACCAAAAAGACACCCGTAACTGAAGCTGCGCCCTATAACACGGTGCGCCCTATGGTCGTGAAAATACGGTACATGATCCAGCGCATCAAACGCTTTCTGTAAATCTACAAAAACACTCACCAAATGTTGTTTATTATCTATTGCTATTGAAATTTCTTCTACTAAGTCAGTTATTGCTGTTGCTGTTGAATGATTAGAACGAAACCCATATTGACTATTATGCAAAACACTATGCCTATTAATAAACTTTTCCAATCCAACAACAAATTATTTTTCCAGAATTTTTGAAAACTGCAGAAGCAGTGATATTGGCCTATAATTCATGCTTATTTCCACCCTTATAGAGTGGTATCACTCTAGCAGTTTTCATATTTTCTGGAAATATTCCTTTAACAAATGATAGATTGCATATATATGTAAAAGATTTAATAACTAAGTCTTTGATGTTTTTCACAAGACATATTCATATCGACATAATCATTTGAAGTCTTGTTCGGACACTGTGGCACTATTTGTAATATTTCACTCTCATCTACTTTATCAATAAAAATACTATCCACAACATCTTTTATTGTTTTTCCGGTTTTATTATCATTTTTAACTTTAGGCATTTGTTTAGCTAAATTTGAGCCGATGTTCACAAAAAATGTATTAAAGTCATTTACTATTTCTTTTTTATCATAAATATCCATCTTGTTTTTATAAAGTAATTTGGTATTTGTGGTCGTACTTTATCTTTTTTTAAAAGTTTACTAATTACACCCCATGTGTTCTTCGTGTTATCCTTGTTTTTATCTAACAATTGACTGTAATACTCCCTTTTCTGACGTTTTATAATTCATATTAATTTGTTTTTATATTTTTTATATCTCACTTCTGATTATTTTGTCCTAAGCTTCAAAAACCTTGTATGTAAATAATTTTTTTTCTTGCAGGCATTTTTTATACCATTTGTCATCCACGGTTTGTTAATTTTCTTGGCATTAACACCTATTTTGATCATTTCACAGTTCTTATTGTACAAAGTCAACATTATGTTCATGAAAGTATTATAGGCAATATTCACGTCATCTTTGTACACACATCTCATTTCTGCTTCTTTAGGTCTTCTTTAAAGGCATTCAATGCTGTGACTGATCTGTTTCTTAAATATACTTCTGTTGTGTCTTGGACAGGTTTACTATATTCGTGCTCAAGAAGAGAAAATATGGGAAGATGGTCACTCACATCTGTCAGTAAGATTCCACCTAATAACAACCTATCTTCTGTTTTCATGTTAGTAAAATTATTATCAATAATAGTTACACTATGTGTTGTAATCCTAGTTGGTTTAGTGATCATAGGAACAACCCTGTGCTATACATAGAATTCATAAATTCCTCTGATATATTCTGCCCTCCCTCTAGATCTACATTAAAATCACCACAAAGGAACACAGTTTTACTTTGAGACTTATCAAACACCTAAGTTATTCTATCTGTAAACTTCTCTACACATGACCCAGGTTTCCTATAAACACATATGATGATAATATTCTTACCCATTTCATTGATTATCTCTACTGTAACCATTTCCATAATATTACTAATAACAGTTGTCATGTGCCCCACAAGTTTACATTTGAATTTAACATCTACATATAAAGCAACCCCTCCTCCCCTTTGATCCATTCTATTGGCATAATATAAATTATAACCCTTAATCTGAACATCAGTTACATCAGTTTCCTTTAACCAAGTTTCTGTCAGTGCAATTATACTGAAGCGTTTACTAACTTGATTCAAATAATCTGTTATTTTTTCTAAATTACACTTTATTCTACAGCTATTGAAATGAATGATAGTCAGTGCTTTATCTATCACAGGCCCTATTATATCATTATATTCTCCCACTTATGTTGTGTTGTCTGAAATCTGTTGCATATAAGTTTGAGGTGTTTTTTTGCAGAGCAAAGCTGCCCTCCCGGTGGAGGGTAACTCTGAAGTGCCTTTTTTTCCCTCCACCTGAACCAATCCTCATGTTACCCTCTTATCTCTATTAAGGTAGCGCGACTCAGGGTTGCGAATGACCACAGTCACCAATTCTTGTCATGTGTCTTGCCCATGTATGTCTGATCTCTGAATTGTGTGTACTGAAACTCTAATTTCCCCTGGGATTAATAAAGTATATTTGATTGATTGATTGATTTACATTCATTAACAACAGGACAAAGCAAATTATAATCTGTATTATTCTCTAATTCATATATTTTATCATTAATTTCATGTATTGAATTGATATGTGTGTCCATTCCAAACTTAATGAGTCCATTCAGTGTTTGTATCTGACCTTGTTCCTTTCATGATTCAGTACTGGCTGCCTCCTCCTGGATCCTTCTCTGTTTGTACTTATCAAGTTCTGTCATGTTTTTTATCGGCTTCACAGGTCCGGCCAGGTCACGTATCCATACAGTTCCATTCCGGGTCCAACTGTCAGTAATTTTCTGTAGTTTCCTTAACTTCCTTGCCTCTCTTGCTACTTCCCCGTTCTTTTTCGTCAAGTGTTCATTTAAAAAAACCTTCGTTACTTTCAGTTTTTCAGCTTGCATTAACACGTCATTTTTCTGCTTCCTGCTGGTGAATCTAATTATTATAGTTGGTTTAGCTTTGTCCGTGTTCCTGGGCAGTGTGTGGCAGATGGATATTGCCTCACTTTTAATGTTTATATCCTTACTTTGCAGAAAGCCTACAACTTGTTGCTCCAGGGACTGTAGTTCATCCCGCGGTGCATCCTCTGTTGTGTCTGCATTAACTGCAGCTCTGGCATAACTTTTATGTCGCGTTTCCAGCCCGGTTATCACCAGGTCCTCTCTCCGAGTGTACTGCTTCAACTCGTCAATCCTCTCCTCCAACAAAGCTATCTTCTTGTCCCGTTCCGTCAGCATTGTTTGTAACGATTTCGCTTCATTGACAAGTTTAAACAAATGCTCCTGCTGCAATGTTAACTTTGTCAATTCACCCGACTTTAAGATTAGTGAGTGCTTGATATCCTCCATATCCTCCGTAGCCGGCATATCTGTTTGTGTGTTTTT